CATTGCTTTATGTTAATGTATATCAAATTAAACTTATGGACTTTTGCATATGTAAATTGGCAATGTGTATATACGTGCATATATATGTAAATTTGTATATATATTTGAGTATAAACGAGGAGAGTGAATGAAGTGAATTAAATGAAATTTCACATATGTACATATATGCGTATACATAAATGCACTTATATAAGCACTTACACCAACGCATCGCTGCTGTTATATTTCATAAGTGCTTAAATTAATTTCTTTATAATTCGTTTAAAAATATTTTAATTAATAAATCGCAATAAATCAGCACAATTTGCAATAAAATTATGTTCAGCATAAACTCTACAATGATGATTCTTAATAAAAATTATTTTCTGTGCTATGATTATCGAACGAAACAAACTGCATTCCATTTTGATTCCAAATATTTTCATATATTTCATATATTATGCAGTACGTACCAAAAACTTATACAAAATATACGTAAGTGCATATTGATATCTATTCAATTATTATGTGTATATGTGCGAGAGCGCGATTGCAACTCTTTATTTTTTATTTTTTTTTTTTTTTTGTCTTGCTATTAATTAATATTTAGAAATTGGTAAACGAGAGATGAATAAAAAGAAATGAATTAATTTCAGAATAAGTTTCGTGAGGACCGGGAATACACTTAAGGTGCCCGTTAACACGTTCACAGACAATCTAAATTCACATTGGTTACTTGATATGATCACTTTCTAGAAGCAAATTTTATTCTCACGTGCAGTGGTAATCAGTGATGCCAATGGTCACCTTAGAACGAGAGCAGCCGAATTCCCATACGTATGATAAACGTAGACTAGACTACCAAATTTATCTACTAATTCTTCCATCGTCATATTCACGCAAATTATACCTAAGAAAAAAAATAAATAAAAAAGGAAAAAAGTATTGCATATGCAACGGTGACCCCTCCAGAGCAAAACGAAAATACTGCATAGGCAGTGGCCGTCCGTGAACGGGTTAAAGAGATTTTTTCATTTCATTCTTCAATTCAAGACGAGGACTTGAATTAAAAAAATTCCATCTGTCCGCCTAAGTCGTAAGAGATCAATGCAGGGAAACAATGCAACACATCCAACTCTTTATTTACTCCGTTTTGATATAACATTGTGCACCAATGCATAGATTTTGTCTTCTAGCACGATTTCAAAAAAGAATATATATTTTTTTCACTTCTAATTTTCACAGTGCCTTACAGAACCTTACGTACACAACAATAAAATACAATTGAGGAAATAATGTGATCAGAAGTCGTTTAGTGTATGCCTACAAGTCTGTTAGTGATTTGGTCAATTACGGGAAATATCCAAATTTTATGATCATTCTTCATTTGAATCAAACGCGACAGTTGTGCTAGACATATCTGACATATCTACTGATGATAGCGTTTAGATTTTTATATGTTGTACTTATGAACTGGAATCTCCACTGTACATTAATTTTATTTATTTATTTTTTTTTTTTGCAATAAAAATGAATTACTTTTGCTTTATTAATATATGATACGAATTTCATTATTAGTTTTTTTTGCACGGTTTTAGTGGGTTTTCCATTTGACCCCCAAATTTAGCACATGTCACAGGTATATTTTTACACCCATCTTTTTAACCGGTTTTCTAGGGAGCATGTGTACCGTGTAAAAAAAGAGTAAATATGATCTACCTTTAGAAGAATGCGACAAGCGAGTGTGCGGCGCGCCTCAACGGAATAGATCCGAATTAAAAGCGAGTTATGTATGTTCAACCAATTTAAATTTTTGACCAGGATCGTGCCAATAAACGCCTTTATCAATCCTCTGTCTGATTCTATTGTTGGGTGGGTGAGAAGATAAAACCTTGTAATGATCAATCGAGCTCAGTAACAGGTATAAAGCTGCAAAATTGTTTCGAAAATGAACACTTCCGAGAAAGTTCGTGTTAATAAATAGTTCTGTGCTAAATTAGCGTACAATCCGGAGCTACTTTTTCTTCAGGTTTTGTGTGATTACATTATTTTCGTAGTAATTGTAAGATGTATCCTCAACAGCAATCAACAACGAATTGTGGTGAAAATGACGCCGAATGAAATAATTTAATCGACAATTTTTCAACTGTCGAAGGAAATTAAATCGAGTATGAAAAATCACAGATGTGAAATGTGATGGCTGGATATTGATTATTTCTATGGATTTCATGTCGACATTTATAGGAGTTACTGTTTAGTTCGAGGATATCCGTTGACATATGTCAACGCTAGGTACGAATTGATAATCACCGGACATTCCTATAGTCAATCATGAATGAGGAAATGACTACGGCCCGTTTCCATCGCTCTGGACAAGACAAGACGGTAAACGAGGTTTATCGCGAGTAATTAAGAAAACAAATCCATTGAATCTCTTCACACGCACTCGCGACTTAATTTATATAGTCAGCAGTTTTATAACGTGATTTTCATATAACGGAGAGCGAAAATTGACCCAGTACGCCAATAACGCGCTTTTATTCCAAAAAAGTTTTTGAAAAATGGCCTGAAAAATTTGTCCATGATTGATTGTATTTATTCGTTATGGCAAATGAGTAAACGGGATTATTCCCAATTACATTTATCCGAGAATTTCGATAAACTTGGACAAACAATAAAGGATAGGTTGCTGTTAATTTATTACATAATCCTGAGATACTGCACAACGCGGCACGAATGCATTTGCAATTGCAGTCTGTAGTGATTCTAAGTTTCTTATAGCGCGGCATAATCTAATCTTATTTATCTTAATTTCAAATTTTCATTAACACTTATTCCTCAGAAGACGGCTCGTAAGTTAGATTAACTCTGACTTTGATATAACACGAATTCCATATAATGCAGCACGAATTTTTCGCGTTGTAGGTGACTTGACTGTAGCACATCATAGCAAGGATGTCGTCACAATTGCATCGAATCTGTATGATATTTGAATAGGATCAAGTTTCAAATTGAATTGATCAACGTTTCTGTGATATTCTGAACTTTGCTTTACAAGTTACTCGTGTTTTAGTGACGTTTGTCGGAGAAAGTCTGGATTTCGTGCGTGAGTTAAACGTTGCGTTTTACTGAAAAAAATCGTTCATAATCAGTATTGCTTTGAAAGAGATTATGGCGACACTTGCCGATCGAAAAAATAAATTTCCGAGTGATTGACTAATTTTGAAGTAAAATCGTAAGGACACCGACGACACTGAACGATCTGATTAATTGAGTTCGCCAATTGTTCGAAAACACACAGAATCAGACAAGTGCGCAAAGTGTAGTTGCGTGACGTAGCTGCCACTTTAATGTTATGAAAAGTTAGTGCAGCCACAACTTTGCCTAAACATTTGTCCATGAGAAACCTTTGCATGTACGTGTGTCGCGTTTGCTTACTTTTGACCAAAAAATAACAGAACGCTGCTTGAAGCTATCGACTCCGAAGCAAAGGAAAAGATTTTTGCATCCGATATGTGACAATATATGAAACGAAGACTCCAAGATCAGATGTGACGGTGATCGCCAAAACTGAAATGAATTTTGAAGTCTTGGATAAATCGTCGTACAAGAAAGATATTGAATTATTAAAGAAGCATTCAAATGAATATATCCTTCCTGAAGACGATTATGTTATGTTATAAATAAAGTCGAATTTTGCCTAAATTAATGACGATAAGAACGTAATGAGTAACGTTACGGTTCGCACAATGGAACGAGAGACAGTCACTTGATCGTCTATTAATGACCATTAGGAATACTTGCAATTGAGTTTTCCACAATTGCTCTAATTGCGGCTCGAAATGCTATACCACTTTCGGCTTTATATGTTCCTTATCCAATTTTTAAAATTATTCCAAACACTGAACTATTGAAAATAGTTAAACTCTAAAGGGGAACATTAACGATGGGAAAAATGCCAAAATTAGATTTTAATGATGACTCGGATAACGACAAGTTTACTGAGGATCAAAATCAGTCAAAGCAAAACCAGTTATCGCATTTGAACGAAGACGGATAGAGACATGGTATTGTATCGTCTAAGAAGATCTCAAATGCATTCTATTCTATTCATGTTGTAAAAGAATGGCACATCCCACCGAGACGAGTAGAATGTAAAAAAAAAAAAATTATTATTAAAAATGACTTTCATTAGCAAGAACGAAAATGAAAAAAAAAAAAAAAAAAATTAATTAATTTTTTTATTTAGCTTCGTCTCTCTAAAATGTTGCTATCTATGAAATAAAATTAATTGCAGGACTATCGGCGGACTCGTTAAACGATCCAACGGTATTCGTTGGACTACCCAATGTTAATAAACGTATAAGTATAAGTGCATAAGCTTGGGCAATTAAAGAAAGTTGACTTTAAAGAGCAGCAGCATGGAATGAGAAAGAGCAGAACATTTTAGCGATCGCTACGTTGCGCATATAAAAATCTAAGACTGTATTTGAACAAGCTTTCAGCTCATGAACGACCTTTGCTGCCAAAGCTGTTTTACTCTCAGCTTTGAATTCGTTACATGCAATACATACAAATAGTATATAGATAGATAGTTAAGTTGATCGCGAAAGATCCTTAAAATTGCTCTTAATTCGAATGTGGAGTTTTTCTGATTTGTTAATTAATTGAAATTGAATTTAAAATGTTACGCTCAGCTACCGGAAAATCGACAAATTTTCATTTATAGCTGAAATAATGCATATGATTACCACTCTTTATCTTTCTTTCTTTCTTTTCTTTTCTTTTCTTTTCTATTTTTTTTTTTTTTTTTTTTTTTTTGTTTTCTTTTGTTTTTATGACAATAAACAGTATTTAGATATTGTTGTAATAAATGTACGCTTGTTGGCTTTACGCTCTTATACGTTCACGCATACGTACTCGGCATATACAGACGTTATAAGCGAGCAATTGTAATAAAAGACATTTTTTTTTTCATTTTGTTTTTTTTTTTTTTTGTAATTTAATAGATCGTTGATTACCTTAACATCGGCCAGCGTTGTGATTTTCTTCCATAGCAAATCTTCGCCAAATATTGAAATCATTTGTGTACAATTGCTATTCGATGAGATGCAAATCCGACATAATTGCAAATTATTCGAATCCATATTGTAGAGCGAGCATAAAGAATGGCATTAAAATCTTATGCATTCGACAAGTGGTGGTGAGGCAAAGCCAAAAAAAAAAAAAA